GGTGGGTGGGCAGGGAGGTCTCTAATTGAATGCTGTTGGCTCATGGCTTTGGGACAAGGCTGGCAGCTTCCAGTGTAAGTCATACTCCCCATTCCCCGGGGACACAGGATCTCTTCCTGTCCCGTGGGCACTTCCAAAGAGCCGTTTGTGTAATTTGCAGAATCGGGGCTTCGGGGCCTTTTGTGGAATGAGGCAGCTGTTTCTCTTTCAGCAGCAACGGAACACTTCTCATCTCTTACTCAGCCCTTCACGGCCCACGGGGGTCCTGTGTCTCAGAGAGGGCTGAACCCTGCCAGAACTGGCTCCTACTCCGGCTCCCTGGGGGCAGGGCTGTGGCCTGTTAGGACCCCCCCTCCCCCCAGGACAGACCTCTATGAGGGGTTGGGTGTGGCCTTGCTGGCCGCCTCCCAGCCCTGAGTGTCCCAGCAGGGCTGCCACGCCTGAGAGGGGGCAGGAGCACACTGACCTCCCACCTCCACCCAGAAGGCCAGTACTCGAGGAGATGGGGGCTTAGAAAGATTGGACTACCTGCCTCTCTCTCCCCCACCCCCACCCATTTGAATGTAGTTGGTACTTTTGCTGTGGGATTGGACAGGGAGAATGTTCTCCACCCCTAGCAAGGCCACTCCTAATGCAGAGGCCGAGCCCTGTTGGGCAGCACAGCGATCATTGCCCCGTTGATCCCAGTGCCAGCTTTCTCCTCTCCTGCGGGGGATGGCCCTATGCTTGTATAGCTTCTGCTTTATAAGTGGCCAGCCTGGCCTCCAGGTCTCAGCACAAGAACGCTTCCTTTGCACAGAATGAGCAGTGAGCTTTGTTCAGACGACATGAATGTATTTGGGAGGGCTGGGCATGAATTGATCCCCCGCACATGCCTTTTCTGAGTGGGTATGTGCTGGAGAGAGCCAGAGTGGATGCAGAGCTCGGTTTTATTTTTGTACTGATATTGGTAAGAGACTGTATAGCATCTATTTATTTAGATGATTTATCTGGTAAATGAGGCAAAAAATTATTAAAAACACATTAAAGATGATTTTAAAAAAAGTTCTTGGGCATTTATTTTTTTCCTTTGATGGTATCACAGCTATGCTGAGGCAAGACCACCAGCCCTCAGGGCTCAGCCTGGGACTTAGGTCCCAGGTCTGCCAGGTACTGCCCATAACCTTGGACAGGTCAGTTTTCTGTGACCTTCAGATGTAAAGATCGATTCAGTAATGGGTGGGAAGTGTTTGGGAATTGGAAACTGGAGTGTAGACAGGCGCATGCCCACCTTTGTGGTCAGGCTTCAGGGGAGAGGAGTGAGGGGGGGGTGGCCAAGGGTGTGCTTCTGTTGCCTCTCGGTTACTGTGTGGGTGGGTGGGGCAGCATCAGGCCTGCTGGCAGCTCCTAGATAACTCCCTTTCGAGTGGGGACTTACCATGCTTTGTCCTTAACTTTGAGCACTGACCCGAATTTTGGATCCCCAAGAAAAGTCCCGTAGGCACCGTGGTACAAATGTCCACCCTGCCTCTCAAGTATGTTTCCTGAGCACACCTGCGGTGGGCGCTCTTACTGCACCCTTTTTTATGGGTGTGTCAGCGGTGGTTAGGGTGCCCTCTGGCCAGAGGCTGTACTCTGCGTCCTCAGTTCTCGTCTTCCTGTCGGAACGAATTCAAACGAGACAAGTAGCAGAAAAGCAGGCGAGAATTTATTTGCAGAAAAAGAACACAGACAGTGGGCAGCTCAGCCGGCCAAGCCAATCCAAGTGTCCCACTCAGTTCGGGCTTTGGGAATTTATACCGTAGGCTGGAGTCTCCCTAAATAAGTCTTCCCCTCTCTTATTTCTCAAAAATATTTAATCTTCAAGCTATAAGGCTCCTTCACCCACATGTTAGATCATCGGCTAGACCGCATCCTGGAAGGGCTCTAAGTCCTCTCCTCACACAGGCGTCTATCGCGTCCATTGTCTGATTCTGGTTTGTCATGTCTCACACGTGTCCCTCCAAGCCTAACACCTTACCCAGCGCTTATCTCTCGCGCCTGCTCTGACAGGTGGAGGCAGATGCCTAAGTTATGGTCGGCTCTTCAAGTCTGCAGCTAGGATGTGCTGAGCCAGGAATGGGCGCCCGTGTCTCGCTACAGTAACACCCCTTACCCACAGTTTTACTTTCCATGGTTTCAGTTACCCATGGCAACCATGGCCCAAGAATATGAAATGGAAACCTTCAGAAATAAACAATTCAGAAGTTTTAAATTGTGTGCCTGTCTGAGTAGCTTGATGAAATCTTTGGCCTCCCCTGTATGTCCTGCCCAGGGCATGAATCACGCCCTTGTCTAGTGTTTCCACCCTGTGTGTGGAACAAATTCTTCCCCACCCCTTGGTCACTTAGGAGCTATCTCTGTTAGTGTCCAGGACTCTAGGGCACAGGCCCTGCTGGTGGNATAACAGGGATGTCTCTTGTCCCTTTTCAGAGCCCTGGTGATGAGCTGAGAAGGGAATCTTCCGCCCCTGGTGAAAATGGTAAGCTCCGGTTCCAAACCCTGGAAGGTCAGGCCTAGGACCCCAGTCAGGGTCACGAGGACAGACCCGGAGTCCAGGCCATCAGATTCTGGCTTCCAGTCTGCAGCCCGCATACCCATTCCTGCCTGCAAACTGCAGGGAGTGGGGTGAGAGAGTGAGGTGGGGGCTTGCATCCTGTCCAGCTCTTACCAACACAGAGTCTGGTATCCGGAACACCTGGACACTCTGACCATTTGTGTCCGGGGCTTAAGGGCAGAGACTGCCACAGGGCTGTGACCCCAGCAAGCCATCAGTGCCCTCAGACCCTCCTGGTAAGCAGGGAATCCCCAGTAGAGCCCCCCTGCTAGCCTCCTGAGTCTCATTAAACCCTGCAAAGCATGTGTCAAATGGACATCATTCCCTTTCACCAAGACTGAGGGAAGGAGTGAGACAGGCACACAGTGGGTCTACAGAAGTCTCTGAGCTCCGAGTTTGTTCCTTAACTATTGACTTGTGCCTCAAAATATCACGCCATTCCTTTACCAGGACCCACTCTGCCCTCCCTGAACTGTGCCACCCCCATTCTTTAGATGCCCCTGTCCTCCCATGGCTGTCCCCACTCCTCCCTCACCCCCCACAGCTTCCCAGTCACACCACTCCATCAGCCACACTCAGAGCCACACTTGCCTCCATGCTGCTCCTCACACACGGGCCCTCACCCCTGGGTCTTTGCACTCACTGCGCATCACCTGGATGTTCTCTAAAATTCTCACTAGGCTCATTCCCTCAATTCAGGTCTCTGATCAAACACCACCAGCTAACTACCCTGGGAAACCAGCCATCCCTCTCCCTGTCCCCTGTCTTGTCACTGCAGCAGTGGTCACCATCTGATATCATATGCGCTCATTACTGTACTTTTATTGCGTGTCTCTGCACTGGGATGTGAGCCACACGGGGGGTAGGGACACTTGCTGGAACCCCAGCACCTGGAACGGTGCCTAGCACGTACTAGGACTCAGTAAAGACTTTTGAACAAATCAAAGAATGACCAGTTGACCCCTAATCCCCATCGGAAGATATTCTCACCTGTGTGCCCACACTCATGGCTTTACAAAGTGCCCTCACATACCTTTGCTTCCCAGGAAAGCCCCTCAAGGTCAGTGCACTATCCCCATTTCACAGATGGGGAAACCGAGGCTCAGAGGGAAAGGCCTTGCCTGACACCTCACAGCAGCTGAGTGGCAGAGCCAGGTGCCAGGAGTCTAATCCAGGCCTTTGAAGACTGCCCAGCTCTCTCCCCACCACATTCCAGGGGATTCTCCCAGGCTCACAACCACTTGGGTCAAGGCCCCACAAGCACTCAGGAACCAGAAAAAAGTTATGGGGCAGGGACACCCTCATTTTTAAAGGCAGGAGCAGTGAGGACTTGTCTTTTGAATTGGCAGCAGGAGATGTGCTGGGGGAGAAGAGATGAGAAGGGGGCAAGAGGGGCAGAGGAAGGGCATCTGACGTGCAGTCAGGAGCCTGGGTTGAGTCCTGGTTGGGCTATTTCCCATCTGTGAGGCTCCTGGA